AATGTTTGCCACAAATACGAGCCAATGAGTACTGACCGGACTGTTGGCCACCAGTGGTCTGAGCGGCACTTTCTGGCGATACGGCCACTGCTATGAACTGTCCGCCACTCGACACCTGCACCACAACCGGTTGTCCGGCGATCAGGTTATTGCCTAATGAGTGGAGTGAACAAAACACACGTATATTTCACAACCGCCTTAAGTGTAGACTGGAGGGGACGGGTAGGCGAGCTAGAGCTGAGGTGACATACCGTGAGCGGTGGTGTTATGTGTGGGCGCGACGACTGTAATGACCTGAGCGGTGGTGGAGGCGACGCTTGTGCTAAACTGTTCCCCTTTGGCGACGGCCGGCGCCGACAGGACGGCCGCCGGGTTGACAGCCGTGGCTGAGGAGGCCGTGACTGCGGCGGTCGTGACGCCCGTCGTCGGGACGGACAGTGTTTGCGATGGAATGGTGTGCGAAGACTGTGAAGCGACCACTGATGAGGACTTCTTGGCGGTGGCGGTGATGGCGGCAGATGTGGCGGTCGTCTGATTAGATGAAGTGCTGTTCTCTTGCATAATACGAGAGGACAGGCCCGACAGCACTGGTAGTCGACGTCGGAGTCAATGGTTTCGCACATTTCGATGGTATTAGAGGTGAGGGAAGGGATGGAGAAACACATGAGACATAAGACATATCACTCACTCATCGCGTGTGACGGCGACTGTGGCGGACAGAGGGGACAGGGATGCGGACAGGGATGCGACTGGTGATGGTCGCCTGGGATGCAGTGATGGGGAAGAGTAGTGCAGTGTCTGTAGTCTTACCTCAAGTGTCGTCCCTTTCCTTAACGACTGGTTTGTGGTAACAGTTGTGATGAAAGCCAAGGAAACTCTAAATTGTTTTGTGTTGCCTATCACTCACCACAACCGACACCAACGCTACCAAACAGACTAATGGCTGTTCACGAACTACCAGTCCCTTCACTACCAACACTACCAACGCTACCAACACTACCAGTGCTCTCTCACTCACTCACACACACATCGCACACACCTTTCCCTTTCACTCGCACTGCTCTCTCTCTCTCTCAACTGCTCTCTCTTTCTCTCTCTTTCTCTCTCTCTCTCTCTCCCCACCGCTCTCTCGCACTCTCCCACTGACTCTCCCATTGCATCGATTGTCTCGACCGGACTCTGCGCATGAGATACAGCCATACCATACGCTCCCACATCCCTGTCCCACATTTCAGCCCCTATGAGTATTATTTCACCAGTTTATTACTGCCTGTCCCGCACACACCCACTCATAGCGTTACGCCATACGCTATCTACAGCTCCCTATCAAACTTTTACTATACTTTTTCATGTGTTTTCTATTGTACCTCTCAATACAATAGCCCCCTTTCACTCCCCCTCACCTATACTCGCGTACCGTTATATGTGTCGCTCATTATCGTAGCTTATGTTTACATAATGATAGTAACCATAGCAACCGAAAGAGTATGTGTTGTGTGCGGCAAAAATGCATTGTATTATTATATCCACTCGACTATTGTTCACAAAACTTATTAATATAACACAACATTTGACGGATTATTAATTATTATATACTCTGTAGACATACATTACATACAAAATGCTCGCAATAAAAGGCTCGCATTTGTCGGACATTAGCGGTAGTGAAGGGAATAGATGTAACGGGGGGTCAGGGGGTCAGCAAAATGGCATAATGGGTGACGTTTTATGTGAAATGTAATGATATTACGGCTTATATTACAGTTAGAGTTAACTTTAAAACCGTTTAATACTTTCGTATAGCGTTTGAGTGATTAGGGTATGTGTTGTGTGTTAGGATTCAATGCATTATTACATATTTGGTTGTGTTATATATTCTTATCACAACTTTTTATGTGTCATGTATTGCACAACACATACACCGGACACAGACCAACGCCCGACATGTGTCACACCCGCACATCCAAGTGCTCCCTAACACACACCACACACTGAGACAGACAGACATACAACAAGTTTTTGCATCCATACACATGCACAACACATACACCGGACACAGACCAACGCCCGACATGTGTCACACCCGCACATCCAAGTGCTCCCTAACACACACCACACACTGAGACAGACAGACATACAACAAGTTTTTGCATCCATACACTAGTTATGAGCGCTAAATAATTATCTATTGTTTTAAGCGTAGTATAGGAACAGATGTATGGGAGGGATGGGGAAAGGGATGCCCTTATGGTCCAAATGCCCCCATATATGCATACTATGTTTCCAGTGATAAGACGCTAGACTTTTTGGCTGATAAGCAAAACTTTTGCCGCACTTTTGAACAGTTTATTAGTTTCGCATTTTCAGGTCATTTTTTGGTTATAATTTTTTTAATACTAGCGGACAGTGGGGTGAGGGGACAGGTGGTCAATAAGATTTTGCCATTTAATATATAAATTATATGCTCTATTATACGAGTTCATTGAATTACACACAGAAATAATTATTTCAAACATAACTATCAATTATGGACTGACATAACACTCCGAGTATATACCGTACTACTGTATAACTCACAAAAGTACATCATTTGTAACCTTTTTTGCCATTCAATCATATTTTCCATGTCTTATGTATTAATGACTAACAATTTTAATGTAATAATATAAAAATTAATAGAAAATGTGTCCAAAAACTCAACACTCATGTGACTTGTATTTGGCGAGCATTATATATACGGCAAATAAGGTGTGACTTTTACGTGATATATAAGGCGATAGGCTTTTCGAGAGACAATAAATGGTTTTTTATTTTCGATGACATTTGATATTAAAGATTAGCGAAAAGTCTGGCTATAAATAGGCGCCTAAACCTGCAGTGGCCTAACGCTGCCATCGAATACCTGTGCCCTTCACCAACACGAGAGCAACTAATTTGCCGATCAATTCGCTAATAAATCCGATCGTTTGGGTGTTCACTATAACTGTAATACAAATCATTAGACATTAGCGCATAAAAAATGATACATAACTTGCATTTCATTCACTCGTATCACTGAATGCAATGTATTTTATAGACGACAGGCCTGTATGAGAGGTCGAGAGCACCGGCTGTTGTCTGCGATTGCAATAACTCTCTCAAAATCGTCGCAAACTATTAAATATCAGTAGAAATTCATATTTTACACAATTTTTTTAGTAAATATCTGATTGAATACCGATGTCTGGCCTACAATTCACACACACTGTCTGACAGACAGTGTCTGTCCCTTCCGTACCCCTACTTCTGGTGTGATTTACTACACGATTCAATAGTGCCGTAAACTTTTCATTTCAGGCGTTCATAGTCTACCTGTACTCTAGTATTTTGGCATTTAAATCACTAATTAGTTTATTTTAATAAAGTTTGACAATTAAAATAAAACTCAAGATTTATCGCAAACTAATTATTGGCATAAATATGAATACAATTAAAATATAACTTAAGAATTGAGTTAAACTAATGGCAAGTATTTAGGGATTAATTGTAAAAACTATTCATTTGGTAGTCGTTTCCAACAGTTTTTGCACTTT